GTCTCCCTAACCCTAATCCCTACCCCTACTTCCTACAGAGACCACCAGAGAAGTATGAAGAGAAACATATCAGTTAATGTTATCAGATGACATCTACCTCCAAAACCTATCTCCAAATACAACCCATCTAAGTTCAACCCCCCTCTCACAGACACACAGGCCCATCCCCATTAGAAGCAAGGCTGAAGGAGAGAATAGAAACCACCCCCATCCCAATTTCCGTTTCTGCTTTTGTTCTGACAAATGCTTCCTCTTCTGGTGACTAAGAGAAGCCTAAGGCTTAGGTCCTCAGTGGAAAAGAGTTGACTGGAATGGCAGTTCCCAAAGCTAGAGCTATGGGGCCTTGTTCAAGCCAATACTTGGCTAGTGGTAGAGAAGCTTCAGAGGCTAGAAATTTAGGAACTTTGGGAAAACAAGAATTGTCCATGGTAAATAACCTTCAGAAGAGGGTGGAGATGCTTAGCTCGGGGTCTGACTGATCCCAAGGAGGGTCAAGAAGGCATTCTTTTCATAGGAATGAGGTGAAAGGCTTAGGGTTTCTTTCATTAGGATTTCCCGGGGCCTTGGCAGGGAAGATCTCCTGCTGATTATACTGCTCTCAGAGTCCCTTTTCCCCTCTACCCCACCCCTTTAGGTTAACTTGTGCTCTGAATATATAAATGTAGGTCCTGTAAACCTGTCTACTGTAAAACTGTCTACAAGAGGACACATAAAGGAACCTGCCTTGGGAGAAAGGAATTAAATAGTTGGGTTGGCTTTGACTAACTTGATTTTGGAAGCCTGTTGTTCACTTGTGCATCCCAGTCTCTTGCAAAGTTTCCACATTCTATGGAAGTTTGTGGATTTGGGTTTAAGAAGCAGGTCCTGTTGGATGGCTTTCACTTTGCATCTAGATTTTCCTGCATTTAGAGGAAATTTCTCCATTGCAAAATACCTTTTTTATTTTTTGAGGGGAGGGGGCATTGAGATGACATCTTTTTTGTAAGAAAAATGATCCTCCCAAAATATATCCTGTATAAATATTTAAGTTCTGTTTGTCCACTAGCTTCAGAGAAAAAGAGTATGGTAGAGGCTCAGACCAAACCCAAGAAGACTAGCCTTTTCAGAAAGCTAACGAAAACTAAAAGTTAAAGTAAGCATTGAGCATTAAAATAGAGTTGGGCAATTGACTTTTGGGATTCTTTTGTTATTGTTATTGATAATTTCATTTACTAGTAAAGCCTGGACTCTGTGTGTGTTTATGTGAATTATGTGCATACAATACCCATAAGGACAATAAATTGCATACTTCTCTATTTTCAGAAACATCCTCAAAACAGGAGACAATATTGCAGAACAGCAGATGGGCTTTTGAGTCATGTTTCTTCTGCTTGTATCTGAAGCCTCGGGGAAAGATTGGCTGTAGTTTAGAGGTCTCAGTGACCACACATACTGCAGAACAGGAAGTGACAGTCTGGGTCTTGGTTTTTTTTTGGGGGGAGGGACGTGGGGGTCCAGAAGGTGGGAATGCAGGAGGAAGAGATCGCCACAGGGAAGAGACAGACAAATAAGAGGTAGAGACAGACACAGAAGGACAGAATGGGTCACCTCAAGTAGTGATTTCATGACTTTTTTTTTTCACCTCATAGGTCTCATTCTGGTACTTAGAATATAAAGATGTTTATTTATTTTTAAATTATTTTGGTAAGAAGATTATAACATAAGGATCAAGAAACATTAGCCAGGGAATATTAATTGCATTGCTTCTGTATTTTAAAAGAACTCCCTTGTTAGGGCCCACTTTCGGCGCCAGATCTCTTCCATGGAGTATAAGTTTGTACTGAGGATTCTGACAGATTGAGAAATAAGACAAAGAAAAAGTCAACTTTGCCTTTACATATATAGAAAACTGTTTAGCCCTTTCTTGGAGATCTTTTATAATGTCTAGCCAGTTCGTGGAATCTCTTGGCTTTAGCTTTGGCTTTCAACCTCATAAAAGCAAAATAAACATTTCTCATCTACATAGGTTATTATTATCTTTTTATTTCAGGTAAAAGAAATATCTTTTTTCTTTGGTCCTAGATCTGTATTTCATCAGTTTGGGAGATTTGGCGTAGAAACTATTTTGGTGTAGAAACTTTTACTGTTGTAGGGTATTATTTGCAATTTACAGTGTCAGAGTTGCCTGGGGCACAGAGAGGTTAACTTATTTGCCAACGGTAACACGGTCATTGTGTGAGAGAAGCAAGACTTGAAACCTGACTCCAAGCTCAGCTGTCCATCCTCTGTCCTTTATTGTGACATTACTCTCAAGTAGGACAGGGACTTGGCCTGTGATTTCACTGGTATGGGGAGTTCTTTGGTGAGAAAATTTTCTCTTCCATAGTAGGTCGCAACTTCTTTGCTTTTAATCTTAGAGAGTTGCCTACAGCACTAAGCTAAGTGACTTTCCCAAGGTCATATAGCCAATAAGGGTTAGAGGCAGGAATTTGAACTCAGGTTTTCTTTGAGGCTTGCTCACTATTCACTTCGCCATGCTGCCTTTCATCTTACCAGATTTCTTAAAAATACACTGGGGGTGGATAGGAGGGTGGAAACAGTAGTAGCTTTTGAATGGAGTTCCGCCCACCTCTCTTTGGTTAGTGCTTGCCTATGTATTAAGCTCAAAACTCCAGCCGCATATATATTTACACAACATAGAACTGATGATGCACAAAATTATCTAAAGGGAGACGGACAACGTGAGAGAAGGGAGACTGGTTCTGAAGTCTGTCAGGCATCTGAAAATATACCCGGCAATAACTATAGATTTCATGAAGGCTGAATAATAACCAGAAGAAAAATGAACTGTGTCCAATCTCTTTTGTGAAGTATGCCATTTGCTCTAGGAGCGGAGGCCAGGAAAGGCAGCGAGCTTCTTCCGTATTTAATGATCATTATCACACACTCTCATTTTGCAGTTCACTATAGAAAAGGGAGCACCCTTCTGTGACTTTTATAAAAGTGCCTATTTTTTAAACAAAATCGCCACGGTCTTTGTTACCATTTCATTAGCTTCCTACTAAGGTGATGAGACTGGGGGTGGGGTGGGGCCGGAGGGGTGTGTCTTTTATTTGAAAGGTGAGTGTGTGTGTGTGTGGGGGGCAGTTGCAGAGAAAATCCTCTCCGAATCAGGAGCTGTGAACTCTGAAGAACCTTGAATGAACACAGCTTCAAAGTGCATCTTATTCATTTATTAACATTGACACTAATAAAAAAGACTCCAGAGGCCTCATTTCTCCCTGCTTTTGGGGTGTGTGTTGCTTAGACTAAGAACAGCACTTGATTTTACTTAAAACAAATCTCAAATAATCCTCAAAGACCCCTTCACCCTGTTCTTTGTAAATATGGAATTCCTGGGACATCTTGGAGCTGTGTGCATGCCCAGGGTAGACTGGCAGTGCTGGAGGAGAGGCAGAGAGGACTGCGCTGAGGGTCATCATGTACCTTACAGGTCTATAGGACAGGATTCGGTTGAGAGCCAGCTCTCTCTTGCAGGGCATTCCTAGGGAGCCAGAGCGTTGGGATGTAGTGAAATAAGAGGACCTAGGGCTCCCAAGCTGCCCGCGTCTCTCGGCCTCCTTCTCCACCCCTCCCCTTTCCCCCTCCTTTCTCTCCTGCTCTGGGCTACCCAACTTCTCCCTCTTACTACGCCCTTAGCGTTTGTCAATGAACGTGGCGCCGCCGTCAGAGCCCAACCCCCCGTTCTCTCCCATTGCTCCGATGTTGGCTAATCAGGCGGAGCCCGCCAGCCATTCAGCCAATGCGACGAGACCGCGGGCCGGGAGCGCCTTGGGCTCCGTAGATTGGCCGCAGCGGCCTTGATTGACGGGCCACCTCCCCACGGCCCCCCCCCCGCCGCGGGCTGGCTCCCTCCACCCCCGAGGCTGAGCCCCCGGCAGCGCTGTCCACATGCAGCGGGTCCTGAAAGCCGGTCCCGGGAAGCGCGTTTCTGCACTATGGGCGTGGAATAGCCGGAGGGCAAACCACCAGCGCCAGCGCCAAGACCACCAGCAGCAGCAGCGGCGGCGGCGGCGGCGACGGCGCCGGCGACGGTGGCGGGAGCAGCGGAGACGCTGACATACTGAACTCCGCCTTGCCCGCCGCCTAACCTAAGACGCCGCCGGGGGAACCGCGCTGGTTGGTTGGGCGGCTTTCGGCACAGGAGGAGGACTTGGGAAGCTGGGTCTGCGTCCAGAAAGCCCGGTGGGACCACACGGACCTGAAGCGAGGGGGTACGGAGGGCTTGCATCTTGATTCCCAGGTCGGGTCCCCCGAGCCCAAGCAGGTGGGAAACCTGCGCCGTCGGCCCTCATCCCTAGGAGGCTGGGACCGCCCGCAGAGCCCCGACACACTCCCCACAGGCGGCACCTGGAGTTGGCCGGGTCTGGGCATCCGCAGCTCGGGCAGCGGAAAGAGAAAGAGCCGGCTGGGGTTCTTCGAACGACTTAACTCTCGAATGGTGGTCGAGGATATGGGAGCGCGGCGGTTTCAGCCGGCATCTAAGAAACTTTGAAGCCAGAGACCAACCCTGCATCTCCGGGACCCAGAGCAGTCAAGGACAGCGTCCTCATCCCCATCACTATCCAGCAGTAGCAACAGCACCTTCTTTGCCCCTGGGGCTCTGCCTGGTGTGTGTGCGCGAGTGTGCGTGTGTGTGTGTGTGTGTGTGTGTGTGTGTCCGCGCGCGCGCGCGCGGGTGTCTATGGATGGCAGAAATTAAAGAGCGTCCCCATTTTCTCCCCCTCTCCATCTCTCTAGTTACTCCTCTGCTGGGATGTTAAGAATTCACCGCTGTTGCTTCTATTGGACTCATTCCAAGCTTCTTGGTTCTCTCGGGTCCATTTTCAAGTGTCCATTTGAGGCCCTAGAATAAGTTCTTAGAAAAAGAGGAGAAAGGGAGAGAGAGAGAGAGAGAGAGAGAGAGAGAGACAGAGAGAGAGAGACAGAGAGAGACAGAGAGAGAGAGACAGAGAGAGAGAGACAGAGAGAGAGAGAGACAGAGAGACAGAGAGAGAGAGAGAGAGCCTTGCCATGGACCTAAGTATAAATTGGGAGGAAAAAAGGGAGAATCTGAGACCTAAGCGGTTCTGATTTGTCTATAGGACTGTTGCCTTCTCAACAACGTCCCTTGTTAAAGCTTATGTATACGAAAGGGTTTTGTTGCAATTGCTTTTTTAATGCCCAGTTGTATTCTGGAAATCTTTACAATCTTGTCAACACAAAGGCATAAACTCACCACCAGGCCAACCGCTTAACAGCTCTCTCTTCTTATCTTCCCCAGTGCCCCTACATGTAGGAATAGCAAACAAATTAATCCCCCAACAAAAAGACTGATTCCAGGCCATTCTTTGGTATATTTATGATCTCGAGTGCTAACTATATTTCTTTGGAGAAATACGCCTTTGAAACACAAGGTCCACAATATCTGGATTGCTGCAGGTGACCTCCGACTTTGGACAACAGCCATCGAAGGAGCTCTGGGTCAGGTGCCTGGGGCTTCCCTTTTTTGTGACATGCGTATGGCGTTTTGATGCTTTCTTCTGGGGGAAAAAAGCGACCTGACTCAGCCGTCTGTCTTCAAGCTTACGTCTGAAAAAAAAAATCTTGCGGTGCCTCCTTAGGAGTTTGGGGCCATAATTCTATACCATCGCTAATTCTATCATCAACTCCATAGCGTAGTGATTGCCCCCCAAACCACTTTCTCCTTTTACTTTAAGAAATAACCAGACTTTGCAATTTGCAAAGGGATTTTTAAAAAATACACAAAATTTCTTCTTATTGTTGGTTCGAGTGAGATCTTTGCAGTAGGTGCAAGGTGGTCGTGATCTCATCTGAAAAAGCGTCTGACTCAAGCTGTGGATCGCTCCGATGGAAATACACTGTAAGCACGACCCGTTTGCAGCAATGCATAGTAAGTAGGCTGCTAGTTCACTTCTCTCTCATTTAGGACCAATCCCACCACACCTTTCCATCAGTCGCAAGGCATCTCCAGGGTTTATTAAATGGGGCTAGTAGATAGGGATGTCTCTAGACATCAAGTAGTGAGCCGAGGTGTAGTACTTGACTTGCTCCTCAAAAATATAGGACCTTTCAATAAGTGAGGGCAAAGGGATGGAAAGTCCAGCGACAACAACCTGAAACTAAAGAAGCAGTTTCTCTCCCCAATTACACCTCCATTCTTGAGAGCAACTTTCAGAATATCTCTTTACCATCATTTGAACGCAGAAACAAATATTCTTTCCCTTCTCGTTTTGTTACCATACGTAGAAGGCGTTAAAATACCACTGTTGCCATTAACATTATTATTATTATTCCTTAAAAATATTTTTGCTCTTGTTATTTCTGAAAGTCAGTAAATATCAGCTAGATATTTGACCTGGAATGCATTTTTAAAAAAGTCTTCCTATACAGACTATTGATATTTTATATTAAATCAAACAAGGTCAATCCGCTATTTTGATTGCAACAGATTTTAAAATCTCACTTTTAAATTTAAGGCGATCAATTAACAATGAGATCTTGGTAAGGGAGCTCAAACAGTGTTGTTTGACGACTCCCCTCTGACAGGCTTCTCTCCCATTTTTTTTTTTTCCAGTTTAGTCCGAGAACTTTCAGTTACAAAGTTGCAGAAATGTGTCAAACTAGAGTCACCAACTCCTCAGTTTAAGTGTGTACAAATGAAATTGCAGGCAGTACGGGCCAACACTGGGAGAACAACGTTTAGGAATGAAAGCAGCATCTCATAGTTTGAAGGGAGGAGGTTAAAATTGTACCAAGTCGTTGTTAGTCAAGTCCCCTTTTAAAAAGAACTGGTCAAGGGGTGGGGTCTTTTTTTTTTTCTCTTCCTCCCACCCCTTAACAAACCTTCAGGTCAAGCTCAAGCAGTCTGGCTTGACTGTCTTTCTACTATATATAGAAATAAATATATATGCATATATGTATATACATATAATACACGTATATACATAATTATATATGTGTGTGTGCACATATTCAATATGTAAAAATATGATCTCTCTAGCATTTTGAAAGAGAAAATTACTATATTTCTTCTTCTGATATGGTATTAATCCGGCAAGGTTGAAGTCATGGAAAGCAGCGCTGGCATGGCAAAGCTCTAGCCCCAGACTTAGCCGTGAAGTTAGCAGATTGTGTGTAATGCGTTTGGCTCGAGATTTGTTGTGGTTGAGAGATTTGGGGAAGATTTATCCATTAACACAGTGTTATGTGAAATGACATCTCCTCTCATGGTGAGTTAAACGCTGGATTAGATCTAGAGATTTCAAGGAAATATAAACTAGAACTAATCACATTTCCCTCCTGGGCTCTGCCGCCTTTCGACCTAAGATCCTGACGTTGTAAAATGCAATGGCGAAGATTGTGAGGCTTTCTTTTCTTTTCTTTTCTCTTCTTTGTTTTTCCCTCTGATTTGCTTTTATTCTTTCCTGCTTTCTTTCTTAACTTCCGTTCTCCTAGATCTACTTTTATTTGTAACACAAATAATTTTTGTGGGGAACACTGGGCAAGGTGTCCCGGTCCAAGAATAGAGAAAAGGATAGACAAACTGAAAAGTACATTTTCCTAACTGGAGGATACTATTTTACTTCGGGACCTCTGGAAAAAGAATCTTGGGTCAACAAATATGCTGCAACTTAAATAATGGATATTTTTATATTTAAAAATATGTAATTGTTTTGTGAAAAGGGTAAACTTAAATGAACAGGCATGCCCTTAAATGATGAGGAGGTTTTTGAACTGAAAAAAAAAAATAGAAATCACTATTAATATCATTGTGGCAAACCCATATTTTGCTGAATCTGTCTTTGTGTTAACTCATGCAGATGGAGCATAAATGTAGGAAGTGACTGGTGACTGAGAGCGTCTTTCCAACATTCGCTCAAACAATGATAAATCTATCCTAAAGTGCTTTAAGGAGAGAGGGATGGATGGAGATCATCAGACTTTAAAAATGATTTTAAACAAGTATTTACCAATTATTTTTAGGGGAGTGATGCAATGTGCCAGTGAAAGAGAAACCACGGGAGAAGTTTCTGTTTTAATTTCCCGGCCCAGTGGGGTTCTTTTTGACTAAGCACATTCCACTGAACAGAAAGGATTTGCATGATTTTCTCTTGCCTGGTGGAAGAGTTAATTCAAAGTTTTCTCTTCCTTTATTTCTGGGACCGGAAGCCATGGCCTTGTCTCTGACCTAGGTCTTACCCTGTTAGGGCTCGCTCTAGTATTTGTCTGCTTTCTTTTCACCTTCAAGACCAAGACAGAGAAGTTTTCTGAGGGATGCAGAGTTAGCAGAGTTAGATTCAGAAGCAGAAATGATCTAAGTAAATAACTTTACTCTCTAAGATTGTTGGAGAAGAAGATATAGGAAATGTAAACAGCCCAAGATGAAGGACGTTTGTAAACTGCTGGGTAGAACTTCCATGCCCAGATTTCATGTAAGACACAACAAACGTAGTCTAATTCATCCTTGCAGTCGAGGGAAAGATTGTAAACTCTTGTAGGAATTTCTGTTTAAATGGCATTAGTGTATTTGTATTAGCTTATCACTTTGGTGTGAAGAGAGTCCTATAGTTACAAGTAAAATAAACATAATATGCTATCAATATGCACTGCTCATTTTGGCAATCTTTCTTTAGGGGTACTGCAGGTCTACTCACCTACACGTGTCTACCACTTCTCTCTCATAAATACTGTTCCTGCATCTTATGCCTCTTATGTTGCATGCCTTTATTCCTGGAAGAAACAAATGGGGACTTACTTGTTACCTTAAATACTTAGCCAAAGAGTAACCTAGAACAGCTTAAAAGAATTGGTAACATAGTCAATAGGGATCCAAATAGTGCAGATGGAGCCCAGAAGAGGAGTTCTCTTCTGCTTAGTTTCCTTATTTCCCATTTCATCTCCTCCTCCCTCCATGCTTCTGGAAGAACATAAGGTTAATTAAAGAGCAAGTTCTCCACCTTTAACACCCCAACTTTGTAAGAATATTTAACCAATGTCTTTTCTTTAAATGAAGGAGTGATTCAGTTGAACTATCTTGGCTAATGCCCCCTGGGAGTTTAGAGCCCTGGAAACTCTAGGGCTAGAAGAGTTGACCCAGACTGAGTAGTATACAGATAACTCTTCCTTTTAAAAACTCAGAGGATGAGCTTCAGGATCAATTCCCTACTCGTATCGATAGGACAAATGAGTTTACTTTCTAGTTTCTACTGATAGCCAAAGGACATCTTAAACCAAATGAATGATGACAGCAATAGAAATAAAGCTTTGAATCAGGATTTCTTTATTTGAGAGGGAATTGGGGGTGTGTGCTCAATTTATCCAATAATATAAGGAGAGGTGTTTGTAAGTATCCTTTCCTAGAGTATACAATTAAGGAAATCTTTGCATATGTATTAATGCATATGTGCTCATGTATACATAAAGAAGGGAAGGATGATGGGAAGTCATAAAAAATTCCAAATCGATTAGATTTCATATTGGGAGATCAAGAACAGTTAAATAGCTAGGAAAGATTTTTCATTTGATCTGAGTTGTTCGAGTCTAATTCAGAGCAGGATCACATTGCACAGACTGAGAAGCAAAGCAGACTTCTCCCCCCTGTGAGTTTACACTCATGCCTGTGAGTACATAGGCATACTTTATACACATGGGCATTGGTCAAGGACTAGACATATATTCTTTCAACCCTTATTGAACAGGGCATTTTAAAATTATGCCATTAGCTTGAAGGGGACACTTCCTTTGGTTGAAATGCAGAGGACACATCAAGTATAAGAATCCTTACTTGTGCCACATATTATTCTCTGATGGATTATTTTTAATTACCAAAATTTTTGTCTCCAAAACCTTTCCTTCCTCACCTCACACCCTCTCACACCCAGGACATAGCTAGAAGATACTTAAAATGGAATAGGACATGGAGTTTCCCTTTGGCTTTGCTTGTGCTAATTGGTACTTACTTTTAAGGCTTATTAAATTACCCAACTTCAGGAAAACAGTTTCAGTTTATTATTTTACAGACTATCCCATCCAAGTCTCTCTTTATCTGGAAGACTTGACCTGAGATTAACTGTCTTTGCCTTTGCTACTTTCCTCTCTTCCTCTGTATGTCTCTCTCTCTCTCTCTCTCTCTCTCTCTCTCTCTCTCTCTCTCTCT